AAATAGAACTGCCCGGTAAACCGTAGGCAGAGAGAGAGAAGAGGACAACAAACGAGGGGCTGTGACAAACTGTTTCGTCGGAGTTTCACCGACTTATATATATATATCGTCACAAATAGAACTGCCCAGTAAACCGTAGGCAGAGAGAGAGAAGAGGACAACAAACGAGGGGCTGTGACAAATTGTTTCGTCGGAGTTATATATATATATTTTTGGGTTTTTTATTTTTAACTCATGATTGGCTACGAATTTGAACATGACTCCAAGGCAAAAGTTTCTTGTATTGTTATTTTACATAGCATATATTTTTTTCAGATTTTTCTGAGAACTTTTTTTTTTAAATACTTTTTATGTTCGCATTCAGAGGGTTTTGGGCGCTTGTTCGCGTTCGGGCGAGCATGTTCGCGTTCGCCTCCGAACGCGAACACGGTGCTACGTAGGTCATAGACAATCTGCGAAAGGCCCAACATCGGATGATAGAGCAAGCTAACAAGCACCACCGACCTTCACAGTTTCAGGTAAGCGATCTAGTCTGGGTCAAGTCAAAGGGCTTTCCACCTGAGGAAAATATCTCGCTGAAGCTCTTACCTGCTTATAGCGGACAGTGGCTCGTCCTAGAAATCAAAGGAGGAGAGGACGGCCCCTCATATACCATAGAGATTCCAGCACACCTCCACACGTACCCAATCTTCCATGCGTCTAAGTTGTTACCTTGCACCACATTTGACATATTCCCTTCTAGGAGATCGATGATTCCGCCAGATATTGATGGTGCATATGATATAGATCACATCGTGGAAGAGGACATGTTCAAGACAGGATGTCGAGGTCGTCCCCAAAGACAGTACAAGGTTAGGTTCGCATTTCAGGAACCCGAGGATGACCGATGGTTCACAAGAACAGAGCTTTTAGAACCGCTTCCGACATAGTACACGCCTATGAGAGGGGAAGAAAGGGCAAAGGTCCTACCTTGAGTTAGAGTGTTCTCGGAGGACCTTGAATTTAGGACGGCGGGAGTGAAACGGTTTCACCCAGTTAACCCGACATTTGCGGACATAGAGATTCGATCCCTAGACCTGTGCCCTAACCCTGTACATTGAACCTGCGTGCTGAGTGAGATTCGATCCCTAGACCTACTCTGTACCTTGTATACCGACCCTGTGTGCTGAGTGAGATTCGATCCCTGGACCTATCCTGTACCCTGTACATAGGGCCAACGATCTGTGTAGGACTTGATCCCTAGGTCTGTAGGATAGAAGATGAGTCTGTTACCAGTAGGCCTAAAGAGACTGTTTTGGAAGTCTCTCCCTAAGTCTACTGTGGGCCTAGAGTCTGTCTGTACATCTGTAGACTCTAGAAGGTCGTAGGTCAGGGGTAGGCAGTCCAGTCAACATGTACCAGGGGTAGGGGCTGCACATGGGGAAGGTTCTGGACCACACTGTGGGTTCCACACGTTTTGGCCCAGAAGGCCAAACGTCTGGAAACTTCCCTAGGCCACATGTTTTGGCCCAGGCCCACACCTTTTGAGGCAGGCCCAGGTGCCTCCAAAGAGGTATAAATAAAGAGGCAGCGTCCAGCCCTTCATTCATTCGCCTGTGCGCTATGCGGAAGAGCTGCCTTGGTATCTTGTGCGTGGAGGACTGCAGGTGTCCGGAGAAGAAGTGGGTTGTGAGGAAGACAACGGCCATAGTGAACCAGCGAGGGAGACAGCGGAGGCCATCGCTAGGAGGAGGAAGACGACGACGGCCATAGCCACCCAGCTGTTGGTGTAGACAGGGTGTACAGAGTGTGTGTTTGTGCAGCGTGGACATTCAGGGTGATCCTCGTACGTGCATACATGTGAGAGTGAGGGAGAGTGAGGCTGGTGGTAGAGACAGTGTTCGGCGGCCATAGCCGCAAGTTGTACAGTTGATTCAGACTGAGTTAATACAAGTTCATTGTTGTTTCTGAGTTGGAAGAGTTCGGTTTTGCCATCGGTTCTCAAGTGTGCATGTTGTGAGCAAGTCCAGAATCGAGTCTGATTGCAAAATTGTGGAAATGAGAGATGATACGGTTTCAAGGTTCTTAACACCAAATAGCAAATGAAAGGATTTCACACGTTGCGGCGTCTCAGTCCCAATTCCGGTCTCCAAGTCCCAGTGTCCCATGTAGTATAGTCCCATCTGGTAGGTCCGACAGGACTTGTCGACCCGTCCCTTCCAAGAGGCCCTTAAAGGTCCATTAGGCCGACCGGTGTTGTTTCTGGGCACAATAGGCATCTTTTGGTGCTATTTGCACCCATGATGTCTGACTGGCTTGGTGGTACCCTTCGAGGGTTTTCAACTTTTTATCGATGTTTCTTTACCTCCCGTTTGAATTGCGTGGGCTTTCGGACACTTGATTGCGTGTTCAGATTTTTGCTTCTCCTTGGCGCACTCTGTCCCTTTCCTACTACTCTGATTTCTTCTCATACATCTCTCCGCTTCTTCCTCCATTTCCCGTCCTCCTCCTCTCGCTTCCATATCTCTTCCTTGTTGCTTCCTTCTTTCCCTCTGGTATTTGATGCTCTTTTGTTCTTGTCATCATGGAATGGCTGGTTACTATTACTTGGGCATTCGATATGCTTATCTTCTGGTTGCGAGTGCTTCGTATTTTTGTTGAAGTATCTTACGGGCCTCTCAGATATGCCAGTGCAAAATGCAAGCCTAATGATCATAATAGTAGAGGTAGACAACATAGAAGAGTATTACTATTGCTTTGTAATGGCAACTGTTTCTGTGCAATCAGACTTGTCTTCTTCTTACTCAACATGCATGAAAACAGATAGCAATCACACTGGCGACGAGCGCCCACACAAAGCTCAGAGATATTGTGGCCAAGAACACAGTTCAGATTCAACTCGCTTCGAATGGCTATGGCGCCTGTGCGCCCTCACAACACCCTTGCACGCTGTATCCTCAGCACTGTTCACACGCACGCTACTCTGGATCTCCTTGGATATCCCACACACGCACACAACTCCCTGCACACTCACTCACATACACGTTGTAGACTACCTCTAACCTATAGCAGCTATGGCTGCGTTCTACCTCTGCCACTAACTAGCGGTTGTGGCCGCTTCGTCTCCCTCTCGGCCCACTTCTTCCTCGGGCACCTGCAGACCTCCTTGCACAAGTCGCTCGGGTAGTGCTTCTGCACTGCTCACAGTCTGAATGAATGAATAGTTGGATGCTGCCTCTTGATTTATACTTTTGTTGGTCGCTGGTCTTCTCCTTTCCTTCGGGCCTAGGATGCACACAATCCCACATGGTACTTGCTGACTGGACAAGGTGCGACTAAGACTGGGTACCGTTGACTAGACCTGGTAAGTCTGACCACTTGCCCACTTGCCCACTTGCCCACTTGCCTACGGACCGCTTTTGAGACTCTCGAAAGTGCAGTCCTAGAAGACTCTAGACCTCTCTACTTGCCCTTTCGGTACCGTAGCAGCTACGACTAAGGTTGACCCATCGGATCTACAGCAGCTACGACCAGACATAAGCTACAACTCCCACCCTACAGGTACGCAACTCGAACCTACTCGACCCTCGTTTCTGCAACAGCCTTAGACATACAACTTTAGGGGCAGGACACGGGTTCAACCATTGATGGGGCACACTGTACTGTACACGGGTTCGGGGCAGGTCTAGGGATCACGCCCTGGGATTTGCATCTGCTACCACGAAGGTCAAATCCGTTTCACTCCCGCCGGCCTGAATTCGAGGTCCTCCGAGAATAGTTCAGTCCAAAGCAGGACCTTTACCTTTCTTATCTCTCTCATAGGCTCGGACTATATCGGGAGCAGTCTCTAGAAGTTCTATCCGGGTAAACCAGCGGTCGTCTTCTGGCTCTTGATAGGAAAATCTGACTTTGTACTATTTTTGTGGACGACCTCTACCTCCTGTTCTGAATTCATCCTCATCTACTATGCGGTCAATGTCGTACCTTCCGTCCATATCCAGAGGGATCATGGACCTCTTCGATGGGAACTGCCGACTCGTAGTGCAAGGCAACAACTTCGACGCATGAAAGACTGGGTAGGTGTGGAGGTGTGCTGGAATCTCTATCGTGTAGGACAGTCCATCCTCTCCGCCCTTGACTTCTAGGACTGGCCACAATCCTCTATACGCAGGTAACAGTTTCAGCAAAATGTTCTCCTCAAGAGCAAATTCTTTGGATTTG